CCGCCTGCCAGCCGGCCGGGCCCCGCCGAGCGCAACACTTCACCTTACGGAGGAGAGATAATGAGATCAATTAGAGGCGCCGTCACCGCGCCGAGACAGCTGCTGGCGCATAGTAATCACCGGCGGGGCCGCTGCGCAGGGGCGCCCCGCTACTGCTACCTGCGCCGGGCACCAGCACACGCCGGCCCACCCGGGCCCCAGCCCAACCGGGGCCTGCGCCCTGCTCGCATCCTCTGCCGGGGAGCTCACCTCTAGGCTGCCCCGCGCCGCCAGCCCACCCCGTGGGAGGGTTGGACTGGCGCCTGCACTTGTGCATGTGTGCATGCTTGCGCGGACATGTGTGGGTGGGTGTCCACGCGTGACTATGCCCTGAAGGTGCGTGTAAGTGTGACACTGTGTGAGCTTGAATGTGCGGTTGTGTGACAGTGTGCATGAGTGTGTGGGTATGAGTAGATGAATGTGTGTGTGTGAGTGTGCATGAGTGTTTGCATCATGTGTACGTGAATGGGTGTATTCCAGTGCTTATGGCAGTGTGAGTGTGCACGTGCATGTATGTGAGAGCTCTCTGCACATGCATGAGTGTATGTGCATAAGCATGTGTGTCCATGTGTGGAGCATGTGTATTTGCAGATGAGTATGATTCTGTGTGTGCACACATGCCTGTGTGTGTGTTTGAGGATTGTGTGTGTAGGCAGCCTAAGTGAGAGCTGAATGTATGTGTCTGTGTGAGTGGTGAGTGTGGGTAATGAGTGCGTGCATGTGGGTGTACGTACATGAGCCTAAATGTGTGCGTGACTCCATGTGAGTGTGGGCTTGTGTGCTGGGGGGTGGGTGTTGTGGCCCCCTCCTTCAGTCCCTTGCTCTGCAGTGGCTCCTTGGATGCCTAGGTTTCCTTGTGGGCCAATGGTCCTGAGAAAGTGCCATATGCTGTGTGTCTGTGGTCCACACCTGGCATTCCCCCACCATATGTACCTATATGTTGATGGCATGGGTGGCTCCCCATCTCCTGACCTCCATCTATATGTCCTCCCCACTGTGAATTTGTGTCTGTAGGCTCCACCCTGGTCAGCCCCTTCAGAAGGGCCTGGTGGCAGTGGGGGGGTCAGGACATGTGTGCCTTGCCATCTGGATCCCCCATGACTATAGAGCAGATAATGACCTGCCCAGGCACCACAGCCCCATTTCAACTTAGCCCATATTGAGCACCTATTGGATGCTCTTCAATGTAGCTCTTGAAGGCCAGACAGATTCTCACTTTAGAAAACAGAATGGGTGAGGGTCCAGAGAAGGGCGGAAGAGAGATGTCATCCTAGTGACAGCTCACTCGGCGACTTTGCATTTGTTTTCCTGTCTGAAATGCTCTTCCTTTGGATCTTCACGTGGCTTTCAGCTCAACAGTCCCCTCCCCTCCGGACCACTCTGCCCATCCTGGGACCCCCATCAGCCACTCTCTTGTCGTGTTTTGTGTCTTCATAGTGCTTCTTGCTGAAATTGCCACCTTCACCTGCTCCCTTGATTTTTGCCTCCTCCCTCATTAAAGCCCTCGCTCCCTGGAGCCAGACCTTGCTGGCATGTTTGCTGCTGCATCAGCACCTGGTATAGCGGCTGGTGCACAGTGGGTGCTGGGGGAACAGGCATCTGCTACCTGGCCATCCCTGAGGTCCTGGGGAAGCCTAAGGTAGCCAGTGTCTGTGCTGTGGGCTGGAGTCCACGGCCACCCTGGGATGGAGGCTCTGGAAGTTTCTCTGAGAGACCATCACCGAGAGACCTGATGTGGCGCAACACTGGGGCAGAGATGTGAGGGACATGTGGTGGTGCCCACAGGGGATAGTCTCAGTCCCTGATGGAGCTGCAGTCCCCTGCAGCCTCGGGAAGTGGCCAGAGTCCTGGCAGGTCCCTGTTTTGGGCCTCACTTATAGAACTGTTTGTGAGGGTTCTTAGGTGCCCAGTAGGCTCCCTTGGCCACCCACCTTCAACTGCGTCCTCAGAGGGCCAGAAGACCCCTGGAGTCTAACTTCAGCTCTGTCCCTGACCTTGATGTGCCCTTGAACAAGGGGTTTGACCTTGCTGTAACTCGGTCTCGTCTTTGAGATGGTCTGAGTGCCTGTCCTGCCTTCCTAATATGGGTGGTGTCTTCTAAAAAAGAACAGAGCAGTGTTTCCCGACCCTGTTGTTGTCCCCACCTTGACACCACTTCTGACATTTTTTTGTCTTCTGACTCTCCTGAAGTGATGATCTGGGCACTGAATTGGGGCGGTTTGGCTCCTTCTGAGATGGTGGGAAACTCCTGGCCACTCTTGGAGGCTCCCCTTTAGATTCAATACTGTTTCCCCCAGGCCCCTGCCCT